GCATTTCACTTGTGCTGCGTATAAAGCTGGCACTCCTTTGCTTGCACTAAACCACTCACTATACACCTATTTCAGATAAGCAAAACTCAGAACGGTTAGCCACATATACATGTTTTTTTTTTTTTTGCCATCTGCTGTCTGGGGAAAATAGTTATGCAATGTGCATGACCTGGTTTAAACCAATCTTTGAATTTCACACAAAAGCATCCTTCCTCTCCCGGACTCCTTTTCTAAAGTTGAATCCACAAAGGGACGAGAAATACATTTCCCTTTAAGTAAGAAAAAAAAAAAAAAGTCTAGAGGACACTGCAGACCTTTCATAAAAGCACTTACTTTGAAAAAACAGGATGGATTATGTATTCAAAACAGGGCACCGTCTAGAGAGCAGACCGAGATGTTGTTCGATGCCACAGCTCTGCTCGGTGTATGCGGCTCCGGTCCTGCTGGGCATGGTTGACAGAAAGGGTTGAGCCTGCGAGGCCTGGTCCTCTGGGGCTGCAGCGTCAGGATGACGCTCAGACCAGTCACCGGGACAGGCTGTGAGCAAGTCAGCAGCTCTGTCTCATCTCTGTGCTGAGGCGGCTGCTTTCTGATGGGAAAATGTTGGTGGCAGAACTCTCTCCCCAGGTACAGGCAGAGCCAAGTCTCCCCAGATGATCTGAGCTCAAGGAGTGGGGGACTGAGCATCAACTGTTGGGCAGAGACAAACAGTCCCTGAAGGAGGTGTCCTTTGTCAGGTCAGACCCCTTCCAGACTCAGCCAAGGCCATCATTGGTCTCCTTGACATAGTTCCTTGACTCGGCCAAGGGCGTGACTCAGCTCACCATGAGCGGCGGGGACCACACTATTTCTCTCTCATGGTCCAGGAGGGCTGAGTTCAAAGCAGTGACTGGAGAAAGGCCAGAGGGGAGACCATGGTGGTCCCTAACTCAGTGAAGTCAAATCTTATGGCTTTCTGGGCAGCGAGATTGAGCACTTATCTCTACAGCAGTTACTGCAGTACAGTGGCTTACGATTCTGGAAATCAGAAACTATTTGGGGGTGGGGGTTGGGGGGAGAATGAGGAGGAAAAAGGGGAGGAGGAGGAAGAAAAGGAGGAAGAGGAGGGCCACAGTCAGATATTAGTTGCATTTCAAAGTCAGTAAGTGTAGAGGATTAATGAGATGCTATTGGTGTCAGGATGACAAATTGTTGGGTAGAGCTGAAGGCTTCTGATGACTTTTTTCATTTATGTCTGGATGATACTGTAACTGAACAGCAAGACAGAGATGTAGTGGAAATTTAAGGAAGCCAGCTGTGGACTTCAGACGCCCAAGGATTCACACCTGTGTCTACTAAAACCTTCCAGATACAGAGCTGAACACCGAGGACACGATGGGGTGGGGATATGGTGTAGGAAGTCCTGGGATCATTTTCAGGTTGGAATATGTACACAAGAACACAAAAGTTAGGGAGCCATGCGATTTTCTTTATCACATAGACTTTGGGGTCAAGGAAAAGCAACTGAACAAGAGCATTCAGTCTCTGAGCAGACGTGTGTGTGTGTGTGTGTGTGTGCGCGCGCGTGCGCGCGTGCAGGGTGTGCAGTGACGAGCAGACAGCAAGCTGAGAGGAGTTCAGGGCTGAGCCTGGAGCTCCCTGGGCCCTGTCATCTCTGGCTGATTCTGGATAACACACAGCCTCTCTGGGCTTCATTTTCTACATGAGAAGTTTTTAAGATCCCTGGAATCTGAATGCCCTGTTCTCCGAGGTCTCACCACCCAGCACATGCCCTGACCCAGAGAGAAATCTAGTGAGCGTTTCTTTTCTAATGCTTTTCTTCCTATTTCTTCCAGTCCCCTCCCCCGCCTCCACAGAAGGCACTGAATTCCTACAAAGGACCTCATCTCAGTGCTGCCTCCCTCCTCCAGCTGCTTCTGAGCAGATTCTGAAAAGGCCAGAAGAACTGACTTTCTGAAGTCTTTGGAGAGGAGATGAGCTGCCCAGATGCCCCTTTAAGAAGGAACTCATCACCCAGCGGCCAGGAGGGTGTCAGCTGACAACTACCAACCCCTTCAGGTTTGTCACAGCCTTTGTGGTGTGCACGGTCTCCTTAGGGTGCCCTGAGCTACAGGAAGGTACAAGCGCTTGCCTGATCCCACCCAACATGAGTGTCTCTAAGTAGGCAGGCTTATTCCCGAGGGACCACTGGGCTGGAAGAGACTGTCGGGAGTCAGGTCTGATCCTACATCCTCCTCTTTTCTCTCCCAGGCTTTACTTCCCTCTGAAACCACCAGCATTCCTGTCCCCAGGGACCCGACAGACAGAGCTGCTAGTCATTATAACACATAAGCCCTAAGGCTGGTTGGTTGGTTTTTCCAAAAAGGATCTTTGACAAGCTTCAGGAAACCTGTCTTGGAGCAACAAGATCTTCTTTGTGGCATAAAGATCTGCAATGTAGATTTCTTTCCTATTCTCTTATTCACAGACATCTAGAGACTTGGTTCCCACCAGTTTTAGCCAGTGGTTCTCCACCAGGGGTGCATGTAAGGATCAGCCCAGAGACATTCACAAAATGCAAGTGCCCGGACTCCGCGTGCAAAGCTACAGTTGGTGTCTTGAGACATACACTAGTCGAGAACCACTGGTTTGTGCATGAAATCCCCCCTTGCTTCCAAGAAGATGAATGCTTCCTCTTCTTCCAGTGATGAGCATTCATCCTGCTGAGGATCATTCCAGAAACTAAAAAGTAAATCTACATTAAATGGTCAATTCAGGGATCCCCAGTTCATTTCCACATATTTTGATAAGTTCTGCTAGTAATGCTTGCAAGACTCACAGTGCCGCATGGTGAGTCTTCTTAGAATATGTTATAGAAAAATGTAGGAAACCTTGGGATCATTTTCAGGTTTGAAGATTTAAGCAAAAAAAAAAAAAAAAAGTCAACATGTGGGCCCCTATGATTTCCTTTATCTTGCAGGGTTTGGGGCCGGAAGTTTTGCAGTGACTTTCCATGGAGACTGGGAACAAGGCAGCTGGTTCTGTCCCCTCAGGTTTTCAGTGTTTCCCTTGTGCAGGGGCTTGTGGTTATGGTCACATTTCACAAACTAAGTTCTTCGGGACCATCAGTCGTGAACGCCCTCGTCTCTCTCCTGTCAATCAGGGAGAGTTCGTGCATGTAAATGTTAGACTGGTATTTCCTGGATCACTGAATAAAATCCCCTGGGATGATGTGTGCGCCCACTTAGCTTTGCTGATCAATTCAAGGAGTTTTATTTTGAGGCTAAGCTTGTATCTGAAGATGCACAGGAGCTGAGACTCCCTAGGACAGGGAAGACCTCACTTTCGCAAGGACACTAGTTCTTGAAAGAGGAAAGAGGGGCCGTCTCCCAAAATGTCAAAAGCACCCAAAAGGAACTACTTGATATTTTTAAAAGGCTTCTTATTGTGTCTTTACAGCTGAAGAGAAAATTCAGAAATCCAGGGGGGATGTAAACAGAGAGGAGGGCTGGGCTTTGGGGAAAGTGTTCTCTTTGCAAAAGTCAAGTGTTCCCCAAACGGAGGAGTAACTGAGTGCAATCCATTCTGCTGACAGCACAACAAACTGGGATGTGCAATAAGAAAAGGACAAACTTCTGTAGAGCACAGGAAACTATATTCAATATCTTATAATAACCTTTAATGAAAAAGAATATGAAAACGAACATATGTATGTATATGCATGACTGGGACATTGTGCTGCACACCAGAAATTGACACATTGTAACTGACCGTACTTCAGTTAAAAAAAAAAAGGACATTAAAAGTCACTGCCCTGTGACCATCCCCTGGGGCATTCAGCAGGACTTGCTTAAGTAGTAATTTAATGCTTCCTGAATACAATACATAGGATGCTTGCTCTGAGTGCATTACTTAAAACTCACTAATTAAGAGAGTGCCCTCTGGGTGATGTGGAAACAGTGCCCTGCAATGGGAGAGAAGAGCTGAGCTTGAGGCTTCCTCCTCCTGCGAACTGGGCAGTACCAAGATGCTCACGGAACATCCCCTGCTTCCTTCCTGCTTGGGTATTTCCTTGATTAGCTGAATCCACACTTGCATATGCTTAGTAAATTTCTGAAGCACTATGCATGTGTGAGTTTTCATTTTTTTTTTCAACACAAACCTCCTTTAAGGAATGGCCGAGTGCCTATCCCGGGATCAGCACCAGGGCGCATGGACAGGGCTTCCAGCTCAGACAGGCTGGCTGCGCTCGAGTCCCTGCTCCTCACCCGCCCACCCGGAGACTGGGAGCAGTGACTCAGCCCTGAGGCTAAGGCGGGGCTGGGTCACCGGCCTGTCCCAATTCCCTCATAAGTTGGGAACCAGGGTCACACCTACATCTTCAGATCGTTGTGAGTGGAGAGGAACTCACGGAGGAAAAACGTACGATGCAAATTATGATGCACAGTGTCCAGTAAATGTGAGCTGTCACTGAAAGTTGTAAAACTGGGGCACACCAGCAGGAGGGCTTGGAGGGGAGCTGGAGGAAGACCCTTCCGGGAGAACCGCCAGCTGCTCCAGGCCCCCTTGCAGTGAGCTGGCCACCTCCCAGCGGCGGCCCGACTCTGAGCCAGCAGGAGGAATCGTTGCTCTGGCCTCATCAGGCACATCTCTAAGTGTCCATATCAACGGTAAGGCGAGTACCCATAGCCTGGCAGAGCTCTCGACCGTGATTCTGGAAGGACCGTCATAGACTGTTCATTTCCAGGTACAAATTCACTTGTGACAACTGTACGTTCACATCACACAAGGAGAACTTGACATGCAAAGAACATCATCTCAAAATGGAGCACAGTCAGATTCGGGGGAGTGGAGGCAGGCAGGCAGGCTGGGAGCGGTGGGTGATGGATCGCGAACGTCAGGGCCGCCCGCGTGAGAATTCCTGGGCGGGGCACCCGCGACGGGCTCATTCCATTATGAGTGGAGGGGGTTTATAATGGAATGACATGGATGGGTTCTTATAATCAGAAAAACACACTGACCTTCACACTACACAGGTGCAGCAGCATAATTGACCCACCACGTGTACGCGCATCAATTCCTGGGGAAAGTCCAACGAGGTTAACTCAGCGTGTATCCCGAGCAAACAAAACCAGCGACATTCCCCGCGTGAAGAGCGTCGTGCCCCCACCCCCACCAAGACACCTGGTTTGGGCAGCCCACACGTGCCAAGGCCCCACGGGGATCAGACTCATT